TTTTTTAAAAGAATATAGCCATGCGGCTATACAAAGGGTCTTAATTTCTCACTTTACACCCTAAAATCGAAATTTTCTCACTTAACCTGTTGGAATTGAAAAGTTCGGCCACCATATAATATTTTAATATAATTTTATGTGTATAATACTTCAATTTTGTATATATTATTGAAAATTTTGTAAAAAAAACACGTGTATTAAACATGAAAAATATTTACATACGTGTATTGTACTAAGTCTTTAAGATGTGTAAGCAAAACGAAAGTATTATTAAAAAATACGTACGTATATGTATAATACAAGTGTTAAACGGGAAAATGCTAGTTAAAAATCAAAAGGAGACAATAGGGACTCGGATAATGGCCAAATAGTAATGGATTATACTCTAAACTACTCTTATTGATAAAAGAAAATTAGGAAAAGATTTTGGTTTTTTTAAAAAGGATCCCAGTATATATTTAAATACTCTTTAAAATTTATTTTAATATTTAAAAAGTATAGATATTCGAATACAAATTTGCGCTCAAGAAACCCAAAAATCAATCTTAGGATTTCTGTTTTGGCTCTTTCATTAGTGTAGTGTTCCTTATAAGAATGTAGTTGATCAGATCTTAAGATGCTTAAAGTTAGCACCTGGGAAATGATTAATGTTCTCAAAAAATGGAGATCTTGAAGTTGTTGGATATATAGATGTTGATTGGGCTGGTTCCATTACAAATAGACGCTCTACTTCTGATTACTTTACATTCGTGAGAGGTAACCTAGTCACTTGGAGGACTAAAAAACAAAATGTGGTCTAGTGCAGAAGCAGGGTATCAAGGAATGGCTCAAGGAGTTTGTGAATTATTGTAGATTAGAAGACTCTTGACAGAATTGGGCTTCAAACCAGAAAAGCCAATGGAGTTGCATTGTGACAACAAGTCAACTATCGATATTGATCATAATCCAGTTCAACATGATCGAACCGAACATGTTAAAGTGGATAGACATTTCATCAAAGAAAAAATTGAGAAAAAGATCAACCGCCTACCATTTGTAAAATTAAAAGATTAATTGGTACACGTCTTAACAAAAGCTATTTGTGGAAGAGTATTTTATGACTCACTTACCAAGTTAGGTATCGGTGACATATATGCCCCAACTTGAGGAGGAGTGTTGACGTGAGCATTTCTAATTAATCAAGGAGCTTTATTTCCTTTATTAATTAAGAGATTTACTTTCTTATTTTATATAGTTGACATATCATTGTATAATTAGGAGATATAATCTTAATTGATTACTGTATCTATTTCATTGTAAAGCACCCATGTAAACTCTTATATATCTCCTTATGAAGAAGAATACAATTAACCTAAAGTATTCAAACTATATTCATATTTTAGCACTTCAAAGATGGAGAAAGCTCTATTGGATGATTGGAGCGTCAAATGTTAGGGATAGTGGATTTGAAGTTAGGGATATGTTGTCCTATAGTTGTGATTTAGGCAATTGGCTTTGAGTACATTTTAGGATTTGATGGTAGATTACAAAAATTGGTGGGTTACTATCACCATGCTGCGTGGTTGGATTCATAGGATTTTGATGGATTCACTATCACCATGCTTGGACCTTGCTGCATATTTTCATATGAACTTCTCATAATCAGTATAGCCACACACAATGCATCTTCCCTTAGTCATTCAGTCGTGTGTTTACCAGGAGTGGAACTTTGAATGAAGACATTCATACATTACACCCGATCAATTAAGCCACTTTTCAGATTTCTTTTATAAACCTCTGTTTGGATGAAGGAAATGAAAATGAGATAGAATTCTAAAATAATGGAATTTAGTTTCCATACTCTGTTTGTATGAGGGAAAATAACTCGAATTTTAGCTAAAAGTCGGGAATTTAAGTGAGAAATTGACAATTCCCTTGTTTGGCAACTTCAGCACAGAATTTATTAAATGAAGTGTGGAAAAAATCATAGAAATTGGGGCATCAAATTCCCGAATTTGATTTCCACCAAAATAAGAGTCATTTCACAATTTCCATAGTGTCATTTACAAAATCCGACATACATAAATTCAAACACTGAAATCTTCAATTGCCAGAAATTGAAATGATGGAAATCTAAATTCCGTCATTTTAGAATTCTATATAATTTTCAATTCCTTTATCCAAATGGAGGGTAATTTCAATTTCTGGCTATTGAAGATTTCAATGTTTGGATTTATGTATGTTGAATTTTGTAAATGACAAAATATTGTAAATGTCATTATGGAAATTGTGAAATGACGTATATTTTGGTGAAAATTAAACTCGGGAATTTGATGTCCTAATTTCCACCATTTTTTCCGCGCATCATTTAATAAATTCTGTGCTTAAGTTGCCAAACAAAGGAATTGTCAATTTCTCCTCTTAAAATCCTGTCTTTTAGCTAAATTCCGGGTTATTTTCTCTCATTCAAACGAAGGGCATTTCCACTCATTTGCCATGGCAAAAGGCAAGGAGAGGTAAGGGCTGTTACTATTCACATAAATAGTGCATGCCCTTGCAATTTTTTTGTTGGTTTTCCACCAATTGCCATGACAACCCAAGAGTAACCACTATTCATATGAGATATGATGAGAGGAATTTGTATGGACTTTTGGTGCATGAAGTGAAGAATATGGCTAGGAATTTATTTAAAAAAAACTTCTAAAAATTTTGGTTTTTTTTTTTTTTTTTTCCAATTTTTTTGTTATTTAAATTGGCTACTGATGCCACAATAACGTCAACATTAAGTCACCTTGCCTAGGCAACCGCCCAAGCTGATGGAGCCCACTCCTTGCCCGAGCTAGCCTTCACCATTAGATTTCATTTTTAGGGGCTGGGGGGCCTTCTGCCTGTGCTAACCTGCACGGGTGGAAGTGATCTTAGATGGAACTGCTTGACCAAATCACCCCTTCACGTAAGGGGCACATGTTTTAAAAATTAACGGAGGTGAGGCAGATTTAATAGAAATTGACTAGTGTCCTAAATTGTTGAGAAATTAAAAGTACATGGACAAAAGTCACCAAATTGAAACTACATAGACAAAAGTGGTAAAAGTGGCAAACTAGAGGGACCAAAAGTGATTTCCATTCCTGACTTCCCCACATTTACTTGCAATCAGGATTAAAAAAAATGTGTGGGCCCTACTTCAAAATCCGTAATCACATTCCCTAAAAACTAAGAATAAGATCAACTAGGGGGGAGTAGTTGATCCGATTCCCAGTCTTTTTTTAACCTTACTACCTTCCACAAATACCCTTACCACTTTACGATAATTCCAAAACACCCCAATGCCAAAAAAAATCAATTCAATGGCTATTTATTAATCACTGTTGGAAAAAGAATTGTTTTTTCCTTTTCACCTTGGTTGCTGGCCTATACTTGTCTTGTTATACTTCTTATCACTATGTCATATTTGTTTTTTTTTCCTATTATAATCCTTATATTATTAAGTACTAGTTTTAGGTTATGATTCATAAGAATTAGTAAACAATAACAAAGGGAATCAACTCCATTCATGTGTTGATATCCGATGGTTAGTAAACAACTTAATTAGAATGATTATTCCCATATCGATTCATTACTTCTTCGATTCCTTACTTCCTCAATTCCTAGTAAGTAAACGGCCCCTGAATCAAACGAGCTATTAGAATTACAATTTCATTAAACAACAAAGACTCTTGATTTTCTTTGTTATTTTTTATTTATTTCATATTTCTAACCGGGGTATAATTAGAAAACCAAAAAATGTTTGTCTTTCATTCTCACACAAACCAAACATGAGAAAGGAAATAAGGTAAGGTATTTTCTGGTTACCTTCTTAGCATGACCAAACATGAAAAATGAATTTTCCATTTCACATGCCTTAAAAAGTACGTGGAAAATATAACTTTTTAAAGTAAAATGCAAAAGGACAAAAGGCGAATTAATTAGCCACTCCACTGTTTTGTCAAACGAAACTAAACTATCTATTTCTTGGTTACAATGAAACTAGCTCTTTTGAGAACACCCCAATTAAGCAGTCACTTCGATTACGAACTGATGGATGAATGACCACACAATAATGGACAGCTGCTACTGCCTGTGACCAATCATGTCAGCCTCAGGTATGTCCTTGACATATATAATACAATTTGATGCCTGCAGCCTACCCTCTCTGCGTTTTGATTCTTTCGTTGGTGGATTCGATTCGGTTCATGAGACCACATTGTGTTGGATTACTGACTTTTTCCTCTAGCTATGCAGCAGAGGGTTAGGTTGGTATAGGCAGGCATTATACTTGTCCTGAGCAGCTAGGCACTAGCTACAGTTGGCCATTGTGTTGTCATTTAGAATTGAATTGCTTCAAGTACAAAGCATCAATGTCTGAAGACCACAGGTGTGTCTTTTGCACGTGAATGAACAGAATAAGCTTTAGCTTCTTCCCACAAGCATGTCTTTGAACTTCTGGTACCATCTCTTACTCAACAAAGAGTAAAACTCTCTCTCAAATCCTGTATCTGCCAATACATCAGAAATCGGAGGAAAGCAAATGAAAACTGATTCAAGAAACAAATCATCCATTACCACTGTTTTAGAAGATGAAGGCTCATCCACAGCACTAGTTGTTGAAGCTGAACATGCTGTACCTCTCAATGTTGTTGTGGATGCACCCATTGTGTCATCTTACAATGATAAAATTCGTCCTCTGCTTGATGCGGTTGACAAGCTCCGTAGCCTCGAGGTTATGGAGGAAGGCATTCAGCTCCCGACAATTGTTGTTGTTGGAGACCAGTCATCTGGTAAATCTAGCGTTCTTGAATCCCTTGCTGGAATCAGCCTGCCACGTGGACAAGGCATCTGCACAAGGGTTCCTCTCATAATGAGGCTTCAGCACCACTCTGATCCTGAACCAGAGCTTTCACTAGAGTACAATGGCAGAGTTGAGCACACTGATGAGGACAACATTTCTGAGGACATTGTGAATGCCACCAATCTGATTGCTGGGGACAGTAAGGGAATTTCAGACGCCCCATTGACCTTGTTGGTGAAGAAGAATGGTGTGCCTGATTTGACCATGGTTGACCTCCCTGGAATCACTAGGGTTCCAGTTCGTGGCCAGCCTGAGAATATCTATGATCAAATCAAAGATATAATCATGAAGTATATAAAGCCCGAAGAGAGCATCATTTTGAATGTGTTATCTGCTTCTGCTGATTTTAGCACATGTGAGTCAATTAGTATGTCGCGGAGTGTGGATAAAACTGGTGAGAGGACTCTGGCTGTGGTTACAAAGGTGGACATGGCACCAGAAGGACTAATAGAGAAGGTTACAGATGATGATGTGTACATTGGTCTTGGCTATGTCTGCGTAAGGAACCGGATTCGAGATGAAACGTACGAGGAGGCAAGGGCTATTTCGGATCAATTATTTAATACTCATCCTCTTCTTTCACAGATCCATAAATCTATGGTTGGAATTCAGGTTTTGGCTGAAAAGTTGGCCCAAATTCAAGCTACTAGCATAGCTAGAAACTTGCCTAGTATTGTCAAGAAGATCAATGACAAGCTGAGTGCTTATCTTTCTGAGCTCAACGAAATGCCAAAAAGTCTGTCATCTGTTGCTGAGGCGATGACCGCATTTATGCAAATCATCGGAGCATCCAAAGAATCACTTAAGAAAATTCTTGTCAGGGGAGAATTTGATGAGTTCCCGGATGATCAACGCATGCATTGCAAGGCTAGGCTGGTTGAGATGCTCAATCAGTACTCAGATCAACTTCACAAGTGCAAGGAGAATGACCCCAAAAATAACTTCTTACTGGAGGAGATAAAGATTTTGGAGGAGGCAAAAGGTATCAATCTTCCCAATTTTGTTCCCCGCAATGCTTTTCTTGTACTTTTGCAGGGAAAAGTGAGGGTTATTTCGAGCATACCTATTGAGTTTGTTGAGAAGGTTTGGAGTTATGTTGGGGATGTGGTTATTTCTGTGTTAGTGAAAAATACACACGACTATTATCATCTTCATGTGGCTACCAAGAGAGCTGCCCATAATCTTATTGAAAAGGTGAAAGAAAAGTCACTCAACTGGATCTTGGAGATTGTAGAAATGGAGAAGCTGACAGATTATACATGTCATCCTGAATATGTATCTGATTGGAATAGTCTCATGACCAAGCAGAAAGAATTCATAGGTAAGGTCTTGAATGATCAGAAACGACCCTCCAAGATGATCATAGATGGTATTGGGGAGATTGAAATTGAAGGCCTAAGGAAGTACACTCATGTTGATTTATCTCTGGCTTTTGACTTGAAAATGCGGATGACTGCTTATTGGAAGGTTGTTCTGAGAAGGTTGGTTGATTGCATGGCCTTGCATTTGCAACTCACTGTTGCAAACCTTGTGAACAAAGACATGGAAATGGAGATTGTTTGTGAGTTAATGGGACCAAATCATGGCCGTGGTATTGAGAGGATGCTCGAGGAAGCTCCATCAATTGCGGTCAAGCGCGAGAAGCTCAACAAGAGCATCAAAAAGCTCAAGGATTCTAAGGAGGTGGTTGGTAAGATCATGGATACTTATGCTGGTTAACTTGTGGGATAGCTATAATGATCAATGTTCTGTTAATTTCTAGTTATTAGGTATGTAGTTAAATGATGGCCACTTTCTACTTACAGCAGACATTTTGTTAGTCCTGTGTGGATGATCTGTTTCTGCTTAATTAAGGGCACATTTTGTTTATCATGTACCTGGTATCCTGTGTGTAACATATCTGTTTCTATGTAATTAAGATTGCTTTTTGCTTATAATCTTGTGGAAGCTGATTTTGTTTCTACTCAGTTATGAACACATTTTGTTTTTAAGTGGCTTCTAACCAGCTAGCATGTTTAATCCATGCAAACCGTTTTGCTACCATCTTCATCTAGTTAGCTGTGGGTGGCTAAATCGAGCACCATCAGTGTCAAAGTTCTTGCAGTCTCAAGTAGAAAGACCTCTCTTAAAACAAAAATGCGTGTGTAGCAGAACAGTTTGGAAAAAGTCTCTTAAAACAACGGCAATAAAAATGTATTTTGTATTCTCTAAAAAGAAAAAAAAACCTGTCTCCAGTACTAATATGTGAATTGTATTATGCGGTAGTATTGTGAGAAATGATATGAACCTCGCATGCAGAGGTAACTGAGAGCTCCTTTTTATTTTATTTTTTAAGAACCAAACATATTATTGTGAAAAAACATTACAAGTTATATTAATTAAATTTGATTAAAAAGATGGTGCAATTGTTAAAAATATGTGATCTAGAATGTTTGTATTATAATGATCTAGAATGTTTGTATTATATGTATAGGAAGCTGATTTTCTCACTACTCTTTTCTCCACTTACACTCTCTTTTGCTTTTTAATATTTTTTAATCAATTTTGTTATTTCTCTTTCATATTCTATTCTTACCCTACATTAATTTCTTTTTTACTTCACTTTTATATTATTTCTTTTTCTTTATACTTAATTTTCTAATTTACACTGCATTTTTAGTATTAAAGAGGAAAAAAAACTTAATTTCTTACTAGATTAAAGGAAAAAAATCCTGAAGCACTGTAGAAAATGCCTTCAGTCGTATAATCTCCAATGCCTAGATAAGCCCCATAAGGAAAAGAAACACATTGAACTAGATTAAAGGAAAAAAAATATTAAAAATAGAGTGCAAGTTGGAAAACTAAGTATAAAGAAAAAGAACTAATAGAAAAGTGAAGTAAAAAGAAATTAATGTAGGGTAAAGGTAGAATAGAAAAGAGAAAGAACAAAATTGATTAAAAGTATTAAAAAAAACAAAAAAGAGTGTAAGTGGAGAAAATAGGAGTGGGGAAATCATATATATATATATCGTTGTCTTGAACAACAAGTAACAACATAAAACAAAAACAGTATTACAAGATTTATTTGAAGACCAAGGATGGTCAGACAACTGCATAGATTCCTAATAGATTTGAGAGATTACTTAACACACAACTTCTCAGCAGAGACTTTCATCACAAAAAAAAAAAACTTCTCAGCAGATTTCAACAGATTCCAGAAACATATCCCAACCAGATATCTTCAAAGAACACTACACATGTCCTACGTTATAGTTTTTAGCATGAATGCAACTGATTTCTTTGCATGCAATATTGGTTATTGGTTTGTTAACGGCTTTTTGCTTTACTGATTCCGTCAATTTTTTCAAGGACATTTCTTTGTTATTGTGATGAGAAAAACTTATATAAAACGGAGATGGAATTATGTCAAGTAGAAAAATTATCATGCGTGGTATAGTGTGATTGGCTAGGGATAGCAAAACAGTGCTATCCTCGTTGTACACAAGTTTTTCTCGATCTGGGGGTGTATTCAATTAAGATTTTAATGAATTTTAAATAAGTTCGGAGTGTGATTTAATTGATTTCTTTTTCATATCGATTTTGATGAAATTTGTTAGAATCTTGATCTTGTCATAGAGTTTGATGGATTTTTATAAACTTCTATAAATTCGAATTAATGGTGGGCCAATAAAAAAAGTCATTTTCGATACTTGGAACTTTATCACTTCGTAGAATATCACTGCAGATCTTGTCATAAGTATTGTCAAGGCCATCCAAAAAATTATACACACGATTTGCCATAACAGCAGCCTGAAAAGTCTTCATATCATCAGCACACTTCATCTGACAAGGACGTCTCTTGTCCAATTCAAGATAAATTACCTTAAGTTCGACAAAATAGGTAGAGACATGACGACCCTCTTGCTTGAGACGGGTAGCTTGGCACCGCAATTCATATAGCTGGGATATGTCAAAGCCATCATAAAACATCTAATTAACAGAATCCCAAATGTCCTTAGCAGTAGGTAGAGTATGAAACATATTCAACAAACTGGGTTCCACAGTTCGCAGCATCCAAGTTTTCACAGTAGCATCATCAATTTTCCACTTCCCAAATTGTGGGTCTTGGGAATCAAGGGCATCAGTGTCGCCAATCAGGTAAACCAATTTGCCTTGCATAGTAGCATGGAGTTTTATCATCGAAGCCCATATCTCATAGTTGGATCCATTCAATTTGAATCCCATGGGTAGATTGGTGGACGACTCAATATAAACAGTCACAACATGGATAGAAGAAGAAGATTCAGTGACATCAGGCATGATGATGGATGGCGGTGGCAACATAAGATTAGGTGGCGACGACGACAATAAGAGATATGAGACGGCGCATGCTTAGGTGTATAGGTGGCACAAGGTTAGGTGTATAGGATAGGTGCAACGGAAATAGGTATTTTTTTAGGATTAGGGTTTTGATGTTGTAGAGAAGAATCAGAACCTGCTCTGATACCAACTCAAAAGTATTTATGGTTTAAACTGATATATTTATTCTTCTCTCAAGGAGGGATATATATATACTACATACAGAGTGGGTACAAATAGGAAATTTATACAAAATCTCCTAATTCTACTCAAATGAGATAATTACAATAAAATAAAAATTCTATTCCTAATAGGAACATTGACTTTAACTCATGCTAACATCAAGTAGACATGGGGTGAGCGTGGTGCTAATGATGGTTATGAAGTTATGGTGGGGATGGGCATGGCGATGGTGGTGATGGTTTGGTTCCAATTTTTTTTTTACTATTGTTGACTTTTTTGTCAACCTGATTTTTGACTGGTTTTTCCAATTCGGTTCGACTAGGTTTTTGGGTCTCGATGCCCACTCCTAATCCCCATGGCATTGTGGTAGTGTGTGTGTGAGAAACCGCCTCCCCCTATAATTTAGACTATTACTTGTACTAAAAAAATAATAGTTTAGTTATAGTAATTTAGACGTATGTGGTGAATTGCAATACTTAATATAGTTCAGGTAGTTAATAGTAAAAATTAAAAGTTTAGGTGGTAATTGCATACATGCTTAAAAGTTCAAGTTGTATTTATGCAAATTTTCCTTTTAAAAATGACATCGTATACCTTTTCCTTGTATTGCTCCACGTCCCACACCACCTCCAACACCTAAACCTCCTACTCCACCACCACTAACTCCAACTCCACCACCACCTCCACCTTCACCAACACCACCTTGACCTCCATCAGTACCACCTCCAACACCTCAACCTCCTCCTCCATAACCACCACTAGTATCAAAACCAGCACCAACTCCACTTCCTCCATCACCATGACCAAGTTTGTTTTTCAAATCTTTATTCATAAATCATTCTTGCAAAAACTTAGACAAATTGGAAACCATTAATACATCTATTTGTCACCCCCAAAAAGACGAACGGTGTTTCAAGTAAGTACTAAAATGACAAATTTTAATTGAGTGGTCAAATGATTTCGAATTCAAGTGACTTTTTGTACTGATGATCTTTAAAGAATTTTTACTAGATAGATGTTTAGATTTTTGAAATACAATGTAAATTGGGCTACAAGAATCTCTCAAATAAGCATATGTATATATATACACACACATTTGTGGGTATGTTTGGACAAAATTAAATTGAAGATTATAGATACTCTAGATTAAAGGATACAAAAAGAAATGTTTAAAAAAATTATTTTCTAAGATATTGAAAATCTCTAAAAGTAAATATCGGAGGAGCTATTGTCTATCCTGAAAATGTCAACAAAGCCCTATAGCAGACTTTGGGAAAATGTGAATTGCGAGTGTGCGACTATTAGCAAGTAATTTATTTAATAGACGGAAATATAAATAATTATAAATAAATATGAAAACTTGCGCACCAAGTAAATGACTTTAATTAAAAGATTATGAATTGAAATGGTAAACTAAATAAATGAGGTTCTTTTCTATGCCTTAAGACAAATAAGGAATTCATAATTCCTCTAATACAATGAAAAGGACAATAAAAATAAATAAAACAGTGAAAATGAATGAAAGCAGATGGACAGATCGATCTCCTTGTATCAATTCTGGTTCAAAGCAGAACTAAGGAACAAGTGACGAACGAGTAAGGATTAGAACTGTGTGGTTTTGATGGATTAGAACAAGGGGAGAGTGAAACCAAAATGGTCTTCAACTGATGAAGTCAATTGGGAATCGATACCAAGGAGGTTTGGCAAAGCAAAATAATAGAGAGACAAGTGTCTTTGATTGAAAGCTTTGGCTTTAGTGTAGAGTTTGTTGTTGAAAAGTTGTGTCTTTGGCTATGAGGCATCCTCTCCTTTTATATGAGCGTAACCTGACCTTTGAAGGGAGCAATCTCCTATTAGGTCATGGCCAAAATCAGATCACAATCTATTATACTTAATCTTCTTAATTGATTGCCTTCAACGCAAAGAAAAAGAAAAAGAATACACTATTATGTCCCATCGCAATACTCAAAGTCATATTTTTTAAAGGGTAAATTACTCAAATGGTCCTCAAATTTGTACCCGATTTACATTTTGGTCTATAAACTAAATTATTCGTTCAAATGGTCCACCAACTCTTTATTAATTGGCACTTTGGTCATACCGTTACATTTTCTATTAAATTTAGTCATGTGAGCAGCACATGCTACATTTTTTGGGGTAAATAAGACTTTTGACCTATGTATCACCCCTTTATCACCACTTTATCACCTATTTGGTGAACATAGGATGGCTATGGACGGTTTTACCCTTACATTTGACGACAACATTAACATAATGTAACGGTAGGATTAATGGAGCGATTAATATAGAGTTGATGGTCCATTTGAACGAATAATTTAATTGAGGGACCAAAATGTAAATCGAGTATAAGTTTGA